CCCCACTAGCGTCGGCCCGTGTCTCTCTCCTCCTCCACCCCCTAGCGTCAGTCGGTGTCTCTCTCCTCCTCATCTACCCCACTAGCACCGGTCAGTGTCTCTCTCCTCCGCTCTCCCTGCTCTAGCGTAAGTCAGTGTCTCTCTCCTCCTCCCCCCCGTCGGTTGGTGTCCCTCTTCTCCTCCCCGAATCCCCCCCTGTGCGTGCCGATGTGGCTGGACAGTCGGTCGGTGTCACTGTCATCAGCAACTACGCCCCTTACCTTTACCACCAGCAGCTGTGCACCGCTTCTGCTAGGTTAAAGAAAGCTCTGCCAATGCAAAAAAACCAAAAACCTTCTTGCACGCACGTGCTCAGGAAGGTAACAAATATACTACACATATTTAACAATAATAAAATGTTTTCGCTTGGAGCCCAGGCCTCCCCAGCCGCCTGGGCCCCTCACACAAGTACTGGCCGTACCCCCCTGATAGTGGCCCTGGCCGGGGATTCGGATCGCGACTCTCCCATTTACTTGTGCGATCCCACATGGGGTTGCGACCAACACTTTAAGAAGCCCTGGTCTGGAGGTGCGGACCAAGCTATAGAAAACAATGGTTTCACATCACCTTATTAGATTCAGCTGAAATTTTAAGCACTGCACTACCGACCCTTTAAAAACCATCTTCAAGGGTCAGGCTACCTGTGTTGAGACAGCAGCAAGTACATATGTAAGGCATACATCAATCAATCAATCAATCAATCAATCACTAAGTCATTTGTGTCCCTGCACTGCCATCTTGGATCCTAGGCCTGGGCTGTATATGGGACCTTCGATTTCTCTCCTAGTCAGTATTAAGCCTCTTCCCTCCTAGGAAAACACCCCACCTATGATGTCGACAGTCTCCTATCCTACTCCTTGTACCATAATGATGATGGTAACAGGAGTAGTATAGGGTGCCAGGCGGGTAGTTGTTTTCTACATTTAGCCCGGCTTTGGGCAAGCAGAGCTAAATGTACAGCAGGGAAGCTGCTGCGTGTTTTGTACAAGTGATCCTGGTGATGTTGCCCAGATCACTTGTATGCAGCCTGCAGGTCTGCCATTGTCCATTGGGGGGGGGGGGGGTGTTTAGCGGGTAGGGGGCACATTGAGGAACCTGGCCTTGGGGCAGCAGAGAGAGTAAATCCGGCCCTGTCTAAAGCCAAACTTTTTTTGTAGTTATGAATAATATAGGGAAGGGTTTAACTTTTTTTGCCATCTGTGCCCCTTTGGGGAAATTTCCATTACCTTCCTGTTCTGTAGGCCCCACAGGAAATGAGAGGAAATCCCTTCAAAGTGAGAACAATCCCCAATTGAAGAAGGGGAAGATTTCCCCGCTATTCCAGTCCTAGTGGCAACTCAAAAGTTTGGGTTTTCCCAGTCCTGGTGACGATGGTCATCAAGACAAATAGAAAGAGTAAATCCACTTGGCGGACGGATTTTCTAACTCTAAAAAAAAGTTTTAGCTTTAGGTACACAATAAATAAACAGACCCTTACAGAGCCCTAAATAAATTAAACAGACCCCTTCACTCCTTCACCCTGGAGCTGCTTGGCCTGCACAAGGATGATGCAGCAACTATAGTGGCTCCAGCCCTTTGACATCAGGAGGGCTACAAATGAACAAAAAGGGATAAAGGGTGGAGTTTGAGTTCCGATAGTCCATAGTGACCATCTTGCCATGTACTCCATCCCACCCCCCATCATTACCTGCTGTTTTTTTTTAACCAGTTGACATCCACGGTGTTAAACCCCCTTCCCATCCAGGCCATTTTTCAGTATTCAGCGCTGCGGTACTTTGACATTTATTCCGTCATGCAGCGCTGTACTGAAATGAATTTTATACCCTTTTTTGGGGACAGATAAGCAGTTCTCATTTAGACCCTTAGACAATGAGCACAAGGCCCAGATAGTCAGTACGATGTAAATCCATCAAACAAAAATAAAGCACATAGGCTTACCAATGATGTCCAGCACCGTATTTGATGTCCCCATATAGCTTAATCGAATGTTGTGGATGGAAGGAGCTGCATTTGCCATAGGAATCAACGACAGCGACAGACAGAAGACGTTGGCCTGTTCCTTGTGTGAAAATCCGGGATTAGGTCCTCTTGAGCTGCTCTCATTCAATATGGTTGGATCCCTCCCTTGGAGTCGGCACTAGATCACAGAAAAACCATCAGAGCCATGCATTGTAGGTGAGAATAGAGGAGAGCGGAGGGAGCGGATAGATTCATGCTGACTGTGAGCTTTATGTGCTGGGAATGATAACGAGGGGAGGAGGGGGAAGGCTGTGACAACCGATCTCTGTAAAACACCTCTTTACAGATGAAATCAATGGAAAGCGCACAGATCAAAGCATTGGCACCATATATAATCAATGAGATCTGTCACCTGGCTTCTTTTCTTCAAAGCGGCAAGAGAGATGCCTGATGACTTGATAGAGAGGGGAGCTGTTATATGGATGAATCATTCAATATTCATCACAGCGGATGCTGGCTGCCGAGGAGAAAGCACAAAGGAAATTTAAAAATATGAAATTAGAATGGGAATATATTTAAAGTACACCTGTTCTTTGGATGAAGTTATCCAAATGACAGGAGAACCTAAGAAAAAAACTGCATGTAATTTGTTCTAAGGCGAATGGAAACCCAAACTGAATGACATTTAGTTTGCTGAAGTAATGTGTATCTAGCTAAGAAATAGAAGGACACAGAGAAATGTATCTAGCTAAGAAATTGAAGGACACAGAGAAATGGAAGGCGAATGGAAACCTAAACTGAATGACATTTAGTTTGCTGAAGTACTGTGTATCTAGCTAAGAAATGGAAGGACACAGAGTATTTAATATTCTTAGTGTGCTATCCTCCCAAAATGGAGTCAATGAGGCTTATTATAGAAAGGGAAATTACTTGCACCACCGGTCTTCAGTGGAGTGTCCTTGTTACAATATGTACATATATATATATATATATAATAAACATGCTAAATTTGTATTCCCATATCTTTAAAAGGAGAACAAACACACCTTTAGAAATGTTTAGTAATGACAATCTACATACACATACTTCTAGATAATTGCCGGCTTTGTATTCTTTGCATACCTTATTTTTCTTTTCCTTCCCATTCTTCTCACAGTCACCATTTTTACTAAGGGCAGATTAATATATCTTCCTTTACTTCCTGGAACTCTGGCACATGTGTCTAGGACATGTGATCATGCACATCATCTCAGGGGAGTAAAATGCCTTTCCCTGAGATCTAATGAGATTACAGATGAGATTTCCCAGCAATGCTCTGCTGATGTGATCTTCCTAGGATGCAATGCTTGGGCACATTACATCACTAGTGCCCAAGAGGACCATGAAGTGGAAAAACAATAAATGTAAGTAAAAGAAAAATATGTTTGTTTAAAGGAGAACTATGGGGTTAAGGCTTTTCCCCATAGTTCTCCTTAGGGTAACGGGAGGACACAAACTAGCATCCTCCCATCACCCTAGGCTCAGTATATCGCGAGCTGTAGCTCGCAGTATACTGAGATGCCACAGTATTCCGCAAGCTGCTGCTCGCGGTATACTGAGACGCCGCAGCTGAAGCGGATCCCGACAATTATGTCTGGATCCGCCCAGCTGCGTGACTGACAGCTGGCTCTGCCTACCTAGAGGCAGAGCCAGCTGTACTCCGCCAGTCAGCACTGGCGGATCGGAGCGGGGAGGGGGGAATCCAGCCCCTCCCCTGTCACGGCAGAGAGCCATGACAGGATCGAGAGGTGAGCGAACGCCGGTATGTGGTTGCTCACCTCCCGATCTACTGAGCCGACCTGTGACAGTCTCATTGTCACAGGTCGGCTAGAACTATGAGGTGAGTGAAAAGCACTCACCTCATAGTTCTCCTTTAACTAATAAATGTAAGATGATTTCATATCAGCTATATGCTGATATGAAATCATCTTACATTTATTAGTTAAACAAACATACTTTTCTTTTACTTACAATTATTGTTTTATTATTAATTTTTATTATTAGTGTTATTTATGCTTATGAAATTGCAGTGGTTTTAGGTGAATTTAAAGTGGACCTTTACCCCCTTTCACTAAAAATCACATCAAGGGGCAGCTGTATATGAGCTGCACCTTGATGTGATTTTTAGTGAAAGGGGGTAAAGGTCCACTTTAAATTCACCTAAAACCATTGCAATTTCATAAGCATAAATAACAAAAGTTTGACCACTTTGATTACAAAATATTAAAGCATATCATAATCACAGGTCGGAGTGTTTCATGGATTTCCTCAACTTCTTCAGGACTACTGTAAAGGATGATGATAATAATGTGCTATGTTGTGGTCTTCACACTCATCTAAGATAGATAACAGTATTCATGAGTAAAAAAAATATAAAGAGAAACAACAGTGATTCTAAAGATACTAATAGAGCCATAATACCAAAAGGAGACCATAAAAATAGAGGGATGTTATAAACAGAAACATGTACACATAAAACAATTATCCAATAGACAACTCTCCATAAAGATTAAACTAAAGTGCATATTTACTGTACGGGTATATTTAAAGTGACACTAAACGCAGGAGATAAATCTGAAAAATGCATTCAAGTACCTTAACTATTAACATAAATGTAATAAACATGAGATAATTTTCATTACTAATCAAAGATTGATTGCAAGGTACAGATGTGAATGGGCCTTGTAATCCTGCATAGTTTACTGTGTGTGAACTGGAGGAAACTCCCCATCTCTCCCAGCTTTTGTACAATGAATATATAGTATTATTGCAAGATTTCCTTTTGTCTTTATATAATGTTCAAAGTGTCCATTGTTGTGTAGCAGCATTGTAATGGAATAGTAAAGCCGCAAGAGTTTTAGGGCCTGTTCACACACACAGCTGTGACCTGCGTTTTACCTTACTGGATCAACACAGTTTTTTATGTGACCTGTTCACACCACAATGCAGGTGTGATGGGCAGTTCTCTGTGAAAAAATGCAGCATGCTGCATTTTTTTCACAGTGCACTGGATTTAATTGCATGGCAACACAGCGCACTTACTACTGTACTCTGCGTTACTTACTACTGTACTCTGCGTCAGGGGCGTCCTGAAGCTGGGTGACACCCGGAGTGGTTACCGAGTGTCACACTGCCGAGACGTCACCACGCATGCGCGGGACGTCACCACGCGCGTGCGCGATGACTTCATTGCATACTCGCGGCGATCTTCTGATACCTGCCGGTGGCCATCTTGGTGATGTATGTCGGCAAAGAGAGGAGGGGACAGTCACCCGGCGGGATAAGGTATGCCGCCGGGTCCCCTCCTCTCTCCTGATACTGTCGGGCGTTCGGTCCATGACCGAGCGTCCGACTTTTCAGAGGGGGGTGACACCAAAATTACTGTCAGTCATTTCGGTGTCACCCCTCCAATGGTGTCACCCGGGTGCGGGCCGCACCCCCCTTGTGACGCCACTGCTCTGCGTTACTTACTACTGCACTCTGCGTTACTTACTACTGAACTCTATGTTACTTACTACTGAACTCTGCACTATGAATAAAAGTGAATGCCAAGTCTTTCACTGAAGCTACAACACAGTTAATTTCTGTCTATGATACTGTTTTTTAATATTATTTTGCACTAATTGTAACATTTTCAGGATATGACTTTGGGGTTCTTCCTTCTTTACAGTTCAAGCAGTACTTTGACCGATCAGTACGTAACACCCCAAATGTTTGTCCTGAAAAAAGTATCATGGACAGAACTCAGCTATGTTGGTGAATGTGCACAAATATGGCTACAATCACATTAAGCATCACTGAAACTGACACCAGGGCTGGGGCTTGTTTTGTTTGGCCACACTACAAGTCATACACCATGAAGTGACACACACTTTATAGGCACCACCACTAACTGTTCAGAAGGTGTCACTCATAAGTATGAATTCATATCTTGGCACCTCTTCGTTGAAATCTGATTGTTTGGTCTTTCATTGTCTGCTTACTGTTCTGAAAGTCTGTTACCAATTGTCTGAGGGCTTGTTAAAAATGGGGATGTGATTTGTGAGTGTGGTTACAAATGGGGTGGTGGTTTGTGGGTGTGGTTACAAATGAGGTGTGGTTTAAAAGTTGGCGTGGTCAGTAGGGTTTTCCCTGGATTTCATCCAATGGGGATTTTCTATTGCAATACTGTACCACAATTCACGGGTACACGGTTGTGGCGCGGTCCCATTTATTGTAATGATCAGATGCAGTACTGACATTGCAGCAGGTGACCAGAGGGCAGCAGAACAACCCCCTAGTTTTACTACTCCCTTGTCGTCCGTGTGAACGAGGTTGGTTATTATTTATAAAAGATATCTGTACATCAGATCATAAAGAGGTACAACTGAGAAGGACGAGGGACAGAGGGATTTGGTTCCTAATCAGGGACAGTTGGGAGGCATGTGACCGTGCTTGCAAAGTTTGGTCCCATAAACTTCTATGGGGCTGGTAGATGGATTGGCTTCTGTCTTCTGAAGTCTATGCATGCATGGACATTGGATCAAGAAGATGGTTGAGGACAGTAAACAATGGCTGCAATACATTGGTAAATTCTCTAACTATTTAAACTAAAAGTTAAATTTGGCTTCAAGGGTCTGTATTTTCAGGGATTTTGGAAACTATGAGTGACATGGATACTTCATTGTAATACACTGCCACCTACTGTTCTTTGGATGTTATAAGTATGGAGATAATCATATCTTATCCAAAGGGGATTATTTATCAAAAGATTTTAAAAGTGGATAGTAACCGCCCATTCTCCCAAGTGTCATTTGTCAATCAGTTTCTGCCTGTGTTCAGTTTGATGGTTAAATCTTACCAAATCAAGTGTTGTCAAATGGCATACGAATGATGACAAAAAATGAAAAGGTGAACTAACCCCCAATACCATTCTCACTACCCAGATCCCTACTGCACTTATCTACAATGATAACCATCGCCCAGAGCCTGTTTAGCAACATAATACTTTGCAATGGGGAACGGTCATTGGTCAACGTGACCATGGGGACTATGCTGACCAATGCAGATCTCTTCTTTCATCCAGGAAACTGTCCCAGAAGAAAGCAATTCTTATTAGTCAGCATGGTCAAGTGTTTGGGCTGACCAATCATTGCTCCCCATTTCAAGCATTATGTTGCTATAGAGCCTGCGGGACTCAGTAGTGATCAAGGATCAAGCTTCTTTTGCTGAAGTGTCATTGGACGTTTCCTGGTTCAGCTCAGACTTCCAGCTCCTCTTTCACCAGGTGCTGTCTCACCAGACCCTACCACACCCCAATGGGGCTTTTTTCCAGAGCCCAGGAGGGGACTCTCCTTCATCTGCCACTACTGGCCAAACCTCCCCTCCAGGACCACATAGTGGCCAGCAGTTGGGGTTGTTCCTGGAGCTCTAAAGACAGCATCTGATTGTTTAGACAGAGGCCTCGAACCTCAATGTTCAGCTGCAGGACTGCCTATATGAAAAGGAAGAACAAAAGGCTTGAGCAATGTCTGTTCACCATTGGCCAAAACCAATGGGTGCTCCACAGGCATTGGCAATGGTAGGGGAAAGCCCTCTTAGCATTGGCCATGAGGTGTAAATGGGTGGCACAGATCAGGGCCCCACACCCAGCCCAGAGTGCTATCTTTAAAAGGGCATGCTACAACCATCTAAAATGCAGTTACCCACAAGCCATCCCACTGGCATCTGTCCTTGATGGAACTTCTCTAAAAGGCCGAACCTCATCAAAACTTGTGGCTGCTCCTAGGTAAACCTTATGGAAACCTGTAGATACTGTATATGCTAAATGAAAATCTTACTTTATCTGATTAATGCAAGCACAGTGCATGCATGAGTGGTCACCTTTAAAGCAGACCTTTGCCCATATGTTTATAAAACAATCAAACATATCTTTAGAAATGTTTAGTGATGACAATCTACAAACAGATACTTACAGATAATTGCCGGCTTTGTATTCTTTGCATTCCTTATTTCTCTTTTCTTTCCCAGTCTTCTGACAGTGGCCATGTTGACTAAGGGCAGATTACAAGCTCTCCTTTTACTTCCTGGATTACTGGCACATGTGACTGGACATGTGACTAGGACATGGGACCATGCACATCAACTCAGGGGAGAAAATACCTTTCACTGAGAGCTCATGATATTACAGATGAGATTTCCCAGCAATGCTCTGCTGATGACAAGGCAATCCTAGTGTGCATTGCTTTGGCAAAGTGAAATCATTTTGCTCTTTCAAAGCAGGAAGTGAATGCTCTGCAAGTGGAAGTATTTCACAATCTCAGCATTATACACCTGACATGTCTATGTCTACGATGCATTGGTAGAATTAGAATTTTGAGTGTAAAGTTTAAAGCATCGTACTAAAAACAGTTGTTTTTTTTACATTTACTATACAATACGATCAAAAATATTTTCATTCTTTTGTTTTTTTCTTGTGTAGCTTTTAGTTAATCAGAGAAAATGTTGTATTTCAAGGAGCTTCCAATTAAACTGGGAGCAGCAATGGGACTTGAAGACCCGAGCACACTGCCACCCAGTGCTGATTTATGTGCATGACATTAGAAAGCGACACGCAATGAAATGTGAGCTGCAATTTCCTCACACAGGTTTAAGTCAGGTTTGATTTAGATGTCAGACAGTGAAATTGCAGCATATGTTAATTGCTTTGCCTTGTGTGTTGCACTGTCTGTACTATGCTGTGGAAAATAAGACTCTGTGGCTGTCTTATGTCTAACAAAGACGAGTTATGTTTTCCCTGATTGTCGCAGCTGAAACTGCCAATATATTACACTTCTAGTCCCTATAGTCATAACAGCTGGTAAGTAGCTGTAATCTACAACAGTCAATCAAATTTTAATTTGCTTTAGTCAGCTCAAGAAAGGTGTAGAACCATTGCTGCAATGTGGGTTTCTGCACGGCTCTTTCATTAAGGCTGAACCCCGGGCACAAAAACTTTCATTTAACTATATTCCTCAAAAGCCACAAAGGATATAAATCCACTTTGTGCGCATTAGATGCCTTTACAAAACCCAGGTATTACCATAAAAAGTAGCAATGACATCATCACATGGCTGCATATGGCCTGAGCAGAGCTCTGGGAGGGACCCAGCAGGCCCCACCCAATACAGGCTGCCTGCAGAAAACTACAGGGTAGGGCGGATACAAGACCAGTCACCCTG